CCTTGGCTGCAGACCGCGGCATGGGGCGGGGTCGGATAACAGGCCGGGATGGACGTCTGACCCCGCCCTCAACTCTAAAATTAACCAACCCCAGATGCTAAATACTAAAATTAACCACGCCCAATTTTTTAAGCCTCCTATTAAACTTCCCTACAAGCCATGGCCACACCCATTGGATGTCTGACCCCGTCTAGTATCCTAATCCGCAGTCTGCAGCTAGGGGTACTTGGGGAGGTGTGCTCCACCATGAGGAAGTTCAGCTTAAAGACACGTCCCAGGGACGTTTCTGGTCCCCACCTGTCATTTTGCTCCTCAGCCTGTCTCCCTAAAAACGCTGCAGGATTTCTCAAAAATGCATGAATGAGTCAAAGCAAGGCTTCGGGCATGTTTTGTTATGAGAGTATAACATTATAACATGATATAAAACTCAAAAAAAGTTGATTTTACATGATATTGCGCCTTTAATGGAAATAGAAGCACAGCAGAAGATGAAACATTTTCTTGTTTTGGCTGAACTAGATAAAACCAAGCTCTAAAGATTCATCTGACAAAATAAAAACAATATTTTTGATGTRAACAGAAACTTTGGTAGCAGTGTTTAAGATTATTTAAAGAAAAATGACAGAGCCAATGTCTATTACAAACAATACTAATTAAGAGTTTTAAGGATGACATGCATATTTTCATTTATTTCCATAAAACAAATTGTAAACATATATTCCGCATTTGTTGTCATGTAAATTCAGCTGCTTTCAGCTTTATGTTGTAAATGGTAAATGGACTGTACTTATATAGCTGTTGTCAAAACACAAGTAGTTTGTAAGTTCAGCAGATCATGGAGGGGAGCACTCAGTCTGATCCCTGCAAACTTTCACAATCACTGGAATGAAACCCCTCACRTGTAACTGTTAGCTCCAATAATAAATATAAAGCTGCATATCTGCAGCTTTATATGTCACTTTAACTGGTGGAAAGTGACATACAGTAGAATCCATAGACACGTTCTGTTCATTTACTCTCCATGTGCTTCATTTTTCATTACCCCTGCACACACACACACACACAGATCTCACTCGGTTTCTCTGAGTGACAGATTGAGTTCAGTCTCAGCCTCAGCAGGAACCCCACACACAGGAGCAGCAAAAGCAGGAACTCTGGATGACACCACTCAGTGTAGATGAGCGTCTTGAAGATCATTTCATGTATGTGACTGATCACATCATGAGTCACTTTTTGTGTATAGATGCCCTTTTTCTATAGATGTGTGGGTGTGTGCCTGTAAATAAATGTCTCCAAGGAGACTGAGGATTTGAAGCACTGAGCAGAGATTAGGTTTCTCGCTGGGATTTGAGGAGGATCTTTTGTAGGGTGTAAGATGTTGCAGGGACAGAGAGGCACACTTTTAGGATTCCCACTTTTCCTTCCTTAACCATAAATCAAACATAAATGCCCTCATCATCATCAATCATAAATCTAAACTGAATGTCTATCACTTCAGCTTTTATATTTTGAAACTTTACACAAACTTTAGCAGAGCAGACGAGCTCCGAAGCCTCTGATAAAAAAAAAAACTTTAACAACAAGGACAACCTTTACTACTTACGGGCTATTGGCCCCACCACCGGAGCGAAACTGGACATATGGAGCAAGTTGTAGGAGGAGCTTAACAGCTTCTGGCCACTCCCCCTCATTGGAGCGAAACTCACAGGAGGCGGAGTCGCACTCCTCAAAACTGAACTGGTAATAAGAATTGGAGTCTGAAAACACCACCCGCTGGTCCACTGGGGGTGGGGGGGGGACAAATACACAAACAACAAAAAGGAAAGTGAGTACATCTTAATATAAAACAATAGAGTTCTTATTCATTAGTACTAAACAATTTGAGTGAGCCAAAATGTTAACGAATTTGCACGTTAGCTCTACAAAACTCATAAAAATGTGATTTATTCACATAAAAGGTCAGCCTGTTCGCAAAACATATGAAGTACTAAAACACATATCAMAAACTTAATTTATTGTCAAATTACTTGTTTTATTTACAAAAGTATTCTATTCCCAAMTTTAAAAGAATGTTACAAAAATATCAACGTTACACTTCTGGATACAGTTAGAGACTTACAWTGGAGTAAATTTTTACAAGTTTTAAATTTAGACAAATGGCAAAGAGAAACAAAGTGAAAACCACAACATCTTAATCATTATTTAAATTACACCTAACAAATTATAACGTGATATAACCAGTTTTGGTTTATTAGTCATCCTACAAAATGCTAAAATTGAGTACTTATTTAAAAASAAGTGTATGTGTCATATCTGTGACTGATTTGACAAAATGCATATTTTTTATGTAAAAGAAGTTGAAACCTGTGAGGTTTCTTGAGAAACACCAGTGTGTAATATGTGGAACTAAGCAGGATTCATGTGGATTCTCATGAATAATTCTGCTAAACACTGACAAATAAAAAGCAGCAGTTATTAGTAACAGAAACAAGACCTCAGCTCCCACAGTTTAATCTGGATTGATTCATCAGGGTGATGAATGCACCCAGGCATGAAGGTTCATCTTCAAAAAAAAAAAAAAAAAAAAACTGAAAACAGGCTCTCAGATGTTTCGGTCTGAACTAAAGCACTGTTAACATGCTTACACATAAATAATAAAGGAATTACTGAAGATAGAGTTTGGGTAAGCGGTGCATCAATTCCCAGTTTGTGTTCAAGTCTAAATTAAAATTAAAAACAAGTTCATGTGCAGAGCAGGTGAACGAGGCAATAAATGAAGCTCTCTGTTCTGCTGGAAATAACCCAAGTAGAGCTCTTGTATCTTTAGAGATGCTGATGTCGCTGGAAGGAGGCTATAAATTTTAAAGCACAGTCCTAGCTACGGGYGTGTTGGTGTGTGAGCGCGTGTGSGTGTGTTTTACCAGACAGCAGGACTCCCAGCTCCAGGAGCACCTGCCAGACGCGCACAGCAGTGGTCCGACAGCGCACGTACACACACTGCTCACACAGCCACTGCACCAGCTCCACTCCCACATAGCTCCGCCTGGTAAAATACACACACATTTGCACATTTTCAGCACAGAAGCCAGGCCACACAATGGCATGATGTGCGGGCATGCTTCTTTGCCCACAAAGCTCGTCTTTTATTAGTCGATAACCATTGATTATTCATCGCTTGTCTGGAAGCCTTTTCCTCAGAAGCACTAAACACTTTCCATCTGCTCCACCGTCAAATAAACTGTGTGCATAATGACAGTAGTATACATATTTTAGTGTATTTTTATTTCATGCACCTGGATGTTCTACATGTATAGTTTAAGCCATTCAAGTGCATGCGATCCATGACCACTTTTATTCACCATCTTGCTCAAACAACCTGACTGGCCAATGAAAGTGGGGCACAACAGCGGCTGGTGAGTTAGTGCGAACGCTTCACTGGACTCATCGATCCAGCCAACGGGAAGAGACGAGCGTACCGTATGATTCTGGCCAGGTGTATCTTGTCTTTAGCCGGGTACGGTCCATGAGAGAGGAAGGCGTTCCTCACGGCCCGGCCAGCACAGGGAAAACTCTGCGAACATGACTGAAACAAGCAAAAACAAAACCAAGCTAGAATTAATATTTCCAAATCAGAGAGGTAAAAATCTGACTTATTGTATAAAAATTACTTTAAAAAAAACTTATTGTTTCTGTATTGATTTCCAGTAAATATAAAACAGCGGTGACCCTATGTGGTTACATGCAGCTGACAGTGACCAGATCCCGAGGACAGTTCTTTACCCCTGAGGAATGAAATATTGACCTGCCTCTAAAATAGTCCTGCCACTGTAAACAGAATTGTATTTCAATTAAGTTGTTTACATGGCTGCTTGTTCTCTATGTATATTGTCTACTTTATCCTAAAAAACAGAGACTTCTTCATAGATAGGCTCCACATCCACAGCTTACAAATCATGATGTCATAGTAAGAATGTAGGCAGAAATAAGGAAAACATTGGTTCTCTTTTGTACAAGCTTAAAAAAATGCAGATGCTACATTTAGGTAAAACTATTTTATTGTGATATTATTTAACAACACTAAGCCAAAATCCTAAAGTTGTGTTTTTAAAACACTGTCGCTGCCTTCATAGGATTTCTAAGTGGTTTATAATAAGTTTATCATCTGCAAACGTGAATGCCTCAACAAAAGCACAAGTTTTGTCACCCTGAAAGATTCAGGCATGTGATAATACCAGAGTTGTAAAGTAACTACAAATACTTTGTTACTGTACTTAAGTAGAAATTTTGCTTATCTGTACTTTATTTAAGTAATTATTTTTCAGCGTACTTTTTACTTTTAGTCATTACATTTTTGCACAATTATCTGTACTTTCTACTCTCTACGTTTTTTAAAAAAGGTAAGAAGTAGAATGTTGTTACACCTATTTTATTCTGAGCTGTTATTACTTTAAAAAATACTATCCTGATAAATTGGGTCTCCTAGATAGAGTGAATTTAATTGTGGTTGGGTGAAAAGTATAAATATATACCATACTGACACCATATTAGGTTGTACACAACCAATCATCAAAATATTTTTTGGAGAAGTCACCTCCCAATAAATGTCATTTTGGAAAATTTAACTGCTCACTTTTACTCAGTACTTTTACTTTTAATACTTAAGTAGATTTTGTGTCAGAAATTCTGATACTTTAAGACATTTAAAGTAATATTTTTAGAGAAGATCTTAACTTATACCAAAGTATTTTTATGATAAGATACTTATACTTTTACTCAAGTATCACTTTGAGGTACTTTATTCAACACTGGTTAATACAATGTGAAGAAGAGGAAAGACCTCAGCACTGATGTTAAAGRTGATGCTACTGCCATTTAATCTGAATAGGGTCCTAAGCTCATTGCTAACAATCTGGACAGTTTCAGTCTACACTAAGAAATAATATTCACAAGTGGGAAAACATGCAAAACATTTGCCAATTTTATGGCTATCCCAACAAGTTCATCCAAGGTTCACATCATGCAATGCTCAAAGACTTTACAAAAAGATAAATAAGATTTCCCTTTCAGCTTCTACAAGCTTCAGTTAGCATGTCCCATGTTAAAGGTCACGACTGTAAAATTAGAAATAGCAGAAACGCTTCTGTTTGAACAAGAAAAACGTCCTTCCTCTCCAAAGAACATGACAGCATGGCACAGCACATTTGCTGAGTTACTGTCATCACAGCCAGCATGTAGTGGTGCTACATGTAGGAGGCAACAAGACGGCCTAAAAACTTACTTTCAGATTTCATCTCAATCAGTGTTAAGCTGGGTCAACATCACTGCAACTGATCTATATTCTTATTGTGAATAAAACACCTAAACATTATAATTTATTAATTTTAGAGAGTGATGAAACCTGCATCAGCCGGGTAAAAAATACAGATTAAGGTACATATTTCCAATCATCTTCATGTGTTTGGTGCTAAAAGATAAAGTTTTACAAATTTAAATCCAAGAAAATCGCAAATATTTGGCACAAAAGAAGCAAATACACTTTCATGCAAAAAAAATGTTTGCCTGAGCTCTCAGTTTCTTTAGTTTAGTTTTTATTTCTTTACCCTGAACCTTTGGTGATAAAACAAAATAAAGCTTATGAGATATTTAAGCCCTCTGGCTTTTTCCTGAGTGCAATACTTAAAATAGTTCCCAAACCAAATTACAGTGATGAATGACAAAATAAGCCCGTGTGAGAAGGAAGTGAAACTAGCTTAGAAAAAGCCCGAGGTAATATCCCAATGGTGTCATCTGTGTATGAATAAACAAACACCACATTTTGAGTCGCAGCTAAACTGAAGGGATGACATCACCTATATGTGCTGATGTGGGTGCGTTTGCCTCCTTACCTTGTGAACGGCAGATCCAGAGCTCGGTCCAGGTATGGTGTCAGGTGATTGCTGTTGAAACAAACACACAAGCCGTCAGAGCTGACCCACGCGAAGCGACGCGCACAGAGTAAACACGCTGAACAAACATGGCTCTGRGAGGAGAAAGACTCGTTTTCATCCCTCTGAAAGTGTTTTGTTTGAGCGCACATCAGTCATAACCACAGCGAACGCACACCTTCATGTGTACCTGTCACTGTGACGGACTTTCACCAAACTCAACGAGAGCAGCTGCTCACTTTTACTTCACAAAAACATGAGCAGCCACAGGTTTTATCAGTAAAATAAAATCAGCAAACAAGACCAGAAAATGCTAATCCAAGTAAAATTATCACGTCTTAAAGGAAAACCGTAATAAATCCTTTTACGGTTGCGACAAGCAGCCTTTGCCCCAGGTGTATCCTCCATTCTTTTACCTCCCCTATCAGGAAATAGGCTCTTAATCTTCATGGATTATTATGGTGCCAGAGCTGCAAAATTAGTGTTTTCACTGGGCTGACACTCTGGAGTTAAAACAGATTAAAAGTGATAGTTTGAAGAAAGGGGATATGGCACTGCCTGCAGTTATTTTTATATACTTACAAAGGAAGGCAACAGTGTTTTTATAAACAAACATATTTTCTACTCTGCTACTGAATTTAAAACTTTTAAATGTTTGACCTTTTTTCTAAAAAATTAAATTTATCCTTCAAGATGATTGTAACAGTTTATAAACACGTGTTAAATTTATTGTGCTATTTTTTTATTTAACAATTTGAAATTTTTTACAGATTACAGCTGGGTGTCCATAATGGCACTGAAATAAAATAAAATAAAAATATACAGTGAAAACAGGATTATATAATGC